TAATTACTAAAGAGTGGACTTTAATTTATTAGAAAACTGAAATATATTTTCTATGAAATGTAACTTATACTTAATAATATGCGCTGTAAAACATAAAAAATAGTAAAAAACTTAAATATTTTTTTTTTGTATCATACATTTTTTATTATCAAACCGTTACAAAAAAAGAACAATAAGAACAATTTATGGTAATTAATAGCTAAATAAAATAAAAATAAAAAGGCTTATTGATTGAAATGATTGAACAGACTGCAGAGGCCTCCCAGCGGAGGTATACTACGATACATTGATATAACTAAGTATATTTGTCATTTGATGATATTAATTATTGTGAATAAAGTAATTTATATATAACCTATTTACGTGGAACCTTGTTTTAAATTTTCAATCCTTCGCTATAAAAGTTGAACATTTTATAAATTGTTTTTAACCACAAAATAATTGTTAAATTTTAATATTGATACATTTTGTCAAAATTCGAATTTTAAATGCTTTTAAACAAAAAATTGTGACTGTATTTTTAATATTTTTCAACTGCTATAGTAACAATATATTAGGAGCCTAATGCGTCATTTAAAATTTAAGTTCCATTTCATTTTTCTACTTATTGCATGATGATGATGGTTAGTGGAGCTAACAGTCGCGGCGCCAGAAATTTAGTACCTACCAGGTGGGCCAGGCTGAGGCCAAAATATTTACTTCATACATTATATAAAACATTATCTAGTAGTGGCAGGCACTTGCGCAAGTGCCGGTTAGTAACAGGGTTCAAACCCCCATTGCCTCAATTTTGTTTTACACTTCGTCGTTTAAACTTACCAAAACAATGATTTGTAAACATGATGTATTAATTGTATTTTTTTTTTAATAATGAATAAATATTTTTTATACTTAAAAAATTACACCCAATACTCAGCAAACCATCAGACATTAATTGTAGTATAATTGAAGTATACCTATTACCTAACTATTATAAAACATAACTATAAATTACAATAAAAATATTATATGTTGTAATACCAATCAAATATACAACTTACGCAATGAGCATTCTTTTTTTAAAAGTATTTACTAATTACTTATTATTTTGGTGAACACACGTTGCCTATGGGCTATGAGGTTTGAGTGCATAGTGCATTTAGTTTTCAACCCATTCAAAACGAAGCTTACACTCAATATTTGTATTTTGTATATTCTTATAAATCATGAGATATAATTTTTAATAGCCGATAATGATTTATTTTACATTTTAACTTTTAAGGGGATTGCAGTACAGGTATTTTTCATACGTTTTAGACCAATAAGCGGTGGTAAATGACAATATTACACGGAATGTCCGATTTTAATTTTTTATACATGCGTATCATGTATGAACTCTTTGATAAAATATCTAGGTTTCTCAGGAAGTCGATTTTCATCTTTAAATTTAGAGGACCTTAAAATAAGAATTTTTTTTCAAAAATCCCATGAAATAATTGCATTATATTTGTATTTATTTTGGGCACATCAGATTTTAATCAAAAAAGTGATTTCTAAAAAGCATAGTCTAGAAGCATAAAAATTCAACCATATTTTCGAAATTGCAATCGAACTTCAGGAAGTATGTTTAATTTACTACCGCTTTTAGTAGTTTTTATAGTTATGCAAACAAGAATATATTTCATTTTTCACCAAGTATTGACATGTGCGTGAGTCGTGAGTGTGTGACAATTACATCCGGCGGTGGTTGCCCATCGCGGCATTACAGCGATTCTCGGAATCGACATGGCCCAATTGTTAATGTCATGTGAATTGCCTAAATATTACTCCTTAAAACATGATACGCTGGAGCCCCCTTAATTTTGGGGTGGGCAACGGGGGGCCTAGACTTTTTAAGGTGGGCCTGGGCGTACCCTGACCCACCCCTAGCGCTACCACTGGGAGCTAACCACCTATAAAATACATACAATTTTTTTCTCAATTTGTGCTTAGCGTTGCTGACCATGGTGGGCACCATAGCTGTTTAGTTCATACACCACCAGATGCTATGCATTTATCAATATTTATAACTATTTAATAATTAATACTATAAGTGCTAATTTGAATTAAGTGATAAATCCAGATTCGATAAATTGACATCCATACTTCCTACGGCTGCATGTAAACCGCGGTCAAATTAACTTTTTTTTAAAGTCGATATGTAAACTGCAACATAGCCGATAAGATACACTCTACAAACTGCGGCAATTTATTTTATATGCCTATACTATTATACTGTATATACATATCGATAGGATACCATAAGTTATAATATATATACCTATTACCTATGTGATATTATTTGCATATATCGTTTAATTAAATTTGTCATAGGTATGTTACATACAAATTTTAAGGTAAATCCAAATGTTTTTTTAAATGTATACTTATAGTACTTACTAGTTAGTTAGATGACTTAAATGTCAGTAGAAGTAGTTTAAGAAATTTAATATTTAATTCAACATGGAATTTACAACAATGTTTAGCCATAATGGCAAACAATATTAGTAACTACGTTAAACAGTGATTATAAAATATACATATTATGCAGGGACAAATAAACAACAAAAATACATAATTATATTTAAATAATAACACATAGGTAAATATGATGTGGGTACCTATATAATTTATGTTATCAAATCGACACTTATTTAATGTATATACGTACCTATAGGTATATAAAATGAATTGACGCAGTTTGTATAATGTATCTTATTGATTTTGTCGCAGATTTTATAATGTTAAATTTTTATTTGTAGCAGTTTACATATCGAATTTTAGAAAAAGGTTAATTTTTCCACAGTTTACCATCTCCCTTTCCTACATATTACACCCCTATTTCATTATTTTTAGATTAAATAAATCTCACCTAAAAAAAAATGATAGTGGTGAATTGAGTCACGTCTAAAATATTGAATGTTAAATTAATAATAAATAATAATATCAATATTCAATAATAATTATAATTATAATTACAATTATAATATTATCTAATATCTAATGTCAATTTTAAACAGGTAAATATTTAAATGATACAGCTTATTAAAGTCAAGTTTAGTTATTTTATTATTCTATTGTAATTCGTCATTACATTTTATCCTAATAATTTCTCTTTTTTGATTTTAGATTCTGAGTGAAACGATGAATATATTGATTTTACAATGATGTGTGTTTTTTTTTTTGTGTCTGTCATCACGTTTTAGGACACTAAAAGTGCTTGGATTTTCTTCAACAGTAGCTTTTCTGATAGGAAAGTGAATCTAGTTGGTACTTTGGGGGGGGGGGGGTCAAAAGTAAAAATTTCCTAGTAGTTTTCACAAGCGCCGGGAAAAACAACATAAAAATTAAGGAAAAACGGGAATTATTACGCAAAATCGGTTTTCCAAAAAATCAATTTTGGTTTTTGGTGTAACTCTAAAACAAATGAACGTATATACATGAAATTTTCACTGGTTGTTTATATTTGCATTTTCTATACACGATAACATTTTCAAAATATTTTGAAATGTTTAGGGACATTTTCATTTTTCATTTTTTTTTAGTTTTTTTTTCTATAAATATCAATTAGGTTTTATCTGTTGGGCCAAAAAGTGTAAAAATTTAATACAAGGCTCCTGATATATTGTTACAATAGCAGTTGAAAAATATTAAAAATACATGGGCACAGTTTTTTTTTATAAGCATTTAAAGATCGAATTTTGACAAAATTTATCAAAATCTCGAAAATTATCAATCATTGTAATTAATAAATTATAAAATGTTCAGTTGTTATAGCTAAGGATTGCAAATTTAAAACAAAGGTTCTCATAAATAGTTCATACTGTAACCAAAAAATCTAAAAAATATATGAACACAGTTATTTTTTACAGACATTTTAAATTCAAATTTGGCCGAAATTACATAATAAAAAACCTAGAATAACTATTTTAGTTATTTTGTTGTGATTGAATAGTATTATTCGTGGGTACTTGAAACTTCTAAAGTGTACTATTATGTATCTATGATAGTATCACGGTTTTTGTTGATGTATAACGCGTTATAAGTACCTAATGGATATTGTGATATGATTAATTTGGAATTTATTATAGGTACCTATTATAGGTCAAATTTTGGGTAAACGGTCACTTTGTACGGTCCATTGTTCAAAATGTACAACGCGGACACTTTGTACGGTCGAGTAAAATGGTACATTGCAGAACGCGGACACTTTGTACTATTATATACATAAAGTATATATATTATAAATATAAGTTATATACCTAAGTTAGCAAGTAAATAACAGACATACGTAAAAAAATTATATTTTGTACCCACGAATTTTAATTTTTAATTAACGACTAAAAAATTTCAATAGATATACTTCTGGAAATATATTTTCTAATATATAATTTTCAGTTAAAATATTTTCCAAGAAAATATTTTATGCAAACATTTTTTACGCATCATAACATTCTGTAAAACTGTGTTCTGTTATATTCCATTCTGGAATTATACACTTTTCGAATTTCTGCAATATCAATTTCTGTATTTCTGTATTTCTACTGATAATAATTCTTATCAGTTTACATTCTGTAGTATTTATTTTCGTTCATTTTATTTTCTGTTCAAATATGTTCTGGGCTTTTTATATTCTGGTTGTTTTCAATTCTGTAATATTATTTTCTGTTATTTAACATTCGACAAATCTACATTCTGGCCGTTTTTTTTCTGGAAAATAACATGCGTCCGGTATATCTATGGTGGTATCCGTGCATCACACTATCACCTTATCTCCATCGTTCAATATTTATCACCACCACAGACTACAGAGTGATAAATATGATCAACAGTCAACACGATAACATTTGATTTTTAATAAGTTATTAGTTAGTTTCATTTTCATAAAATTCTGAATTCTTTAGATTGTTGAAAATCACTCTAAAGTCTGTACACATATTTTTTTTTCATAAAAATAAGTAAAAGGATCATAGCCATATAAAATGTTCAAGAAGTAAGTATAGCAATCCTAAATTTATTTTATTAATAAAAACATGAATAGTTAGTACTTAATTTATAGAAATGTTATGACTTTTTTTAATCAGTGTTATTTTATAATATACCTTTAGTGTACCGTCAGTTTTGATATTAGAGTGAATTTACCTATTATCAAACTTTTAGGTAAGAACATTTTCTGTAGTTACTCGGTGGTTAATTACGATACCTATTTTAATTTTTAAGTGAATTATGAGAGTTTTCAAATATAAATATTTTACATACTCATAACTCACTTATAAATTAAAATCCAAAAATCACTGAGAGAAAACGGAAAATGTTCTTACCTAAAAGTTTGATAATAGGTCAATTAACTCTAATATAAAAACTGACAACACACTATTAAAACAGGCAAACGAAAGTTTGCTATGTTGTACTTGTGTAGGACGGAGACATTACATGCTGATACCAAGTCCTCTTAATTCAATCTTAATTTCTGCAAAATGTGTGTACAGCACATTTAATATTGTTTGCATTTTTATTGTTTTTTTTATTTTTATTGGTGTTCACATGATTATTTAAATTTTTTGTTCGAGTATCATTTTAATGATATTATTGATACCTACCTGCTAATAGTAGTATACTATTTTAATTTTTCCAGATTTGATGATAAAGATAGTGTGATAGGTATTCAACAGTTAAAATCGTCTGTCCAAAAAGGTATTCGAACAAAAATTCTTGATCAATATCCAACACTAGAGGAGTACATAGATATGATATTACCTAAGAAAGATGCACTTAGAATCGTTAAGTGGTAAGTCTTTAAATGTACTCGATAATATACATTTTAAATTAATATAAAACAATTATTGTCTAGCCAAGATCATATTGAAATAATTGTTAATTCAGCTGGTGACTGTTTATTTTTTCGGCATAGAAATGGCCCTTGGCTGCCTACACTGAAACTTCTTCATAAATGTAAGTAGTATACCTCTTAATGAATTTCACGATATTATTAACCTATGAAATATTTGAGATTTTGTATAGCAGAAGTAACTTGTAAATTAAATCTGAAAAAAAAAATATTAATATTATATTTACCATTGCACCTATTGCATTCTTAAGTATTAGAATATAATATGCATTAGGTACTAAGAAATATTATTTATTATTTTATAATGTATTTAAATTAAATACGCATTGTGTTTTTTTTCTAGATCCATTCTTCCTTCCTAAAGAACAAGTAGACTTAGGTGCCATTAAATTTGTTATGAGTGGTGCCAACATTATGTGTCCTGGTTTGACTTCGCCCGGAGCAAAAATTGAGCCTGTTCCACAAAATACAATTGTAGTATCCTTTAAATTTTAAATTTTTAAATTAAAACTTATACTGATGTTTTGACTGACTAAAATTCACAATTATTATTTATTAGGTCATCCATGGTGTTGCCCGTGACAAATTAAATAATGCTAGTGCATTTACCCTGTCTTGAACTCCGTTAATTATAAACTACACATATTTTTAATACATTCATTTAGGTAATTTTGACTATATAAAATAAAGGTCTAAAATTATATCCAATTGTAATAATTATTTTATTTTCTGTAACTAATGACAATCCTATATAAACAAGAAAAATGTTTATATTTTATTTTATTTATATTTTTTGTGAGCCAACCAATCCCTGTGTAAGCCCCTCATTAAAATGCAAAATTTAAAAATTTGCCTCTGAGGTGCAAATCCTTAGGTAAAAGATTATGTATGTTATGTACCAAATTTCAGAACCATCAGTGTGATAAACTTGGCTATGGATCGCTTGCACACACACATACACATTACACCCGAACATTGCCTTTTATTATTATTATTTTTGTATTATGTTATTTAAATAATTTTTGTTGACATTTTACTAGTATTTTCTTTAACTCTCATTTATTCAGGCTGTTATGGCAGAAGGCAAACAACATGCTCTAGCCATTGGAATTACTAGTCTTTCTACAGATGATATGTAATTTTATAGTTGATATATTTTCTTATGACAATTTTCTAAAAATTATATTTTGATTTTTATTTCAGATTAAAAGTGAATAAAGGAGTTGGTATTGAAAACTGTCACTATTTGAATGATGGTCTTTGGCAAATGAAAGCTGTGAAGTAATACAAATAAGCATAGTAAACATATTGTATCAAACTATGTACGAATTATTTGAAATTTAAGTCGTATGTTAAATAAAATATTCTCATCATTATTCGTGTATGATAATAATTCCTAAAATACTACAACTATAAGAGGGTTGTGTCAGGTTGGTCATGTTATCTCCGCAGGTATACAACGTACATACACATTACACACCTATATAGATAGGAGTGTATATAAGATCATAGTGACCTAGTGTAATAAATTGTAGGATTTCAATCCAACATAGTATTTTTATCATGTATCTGTTGATACATCTATGATCAACCCTAATGTACTTTATGCTGTAGGCTTAATATCCTAGGTGAATCGGTGAGTACAGTGAAAAACAAAACAATTTGTATTTCTCTGTATTGGAAAATGGTCAGAATAGAACTCGCACTCATGACGTAGAACACGACCGAAAAGATGTTAAAACTCAATATAATTATACTCCGTAGTAGGGGTTCCCAACCAGCCGATCTTAATTTAAAAAAAGTTTTATAGCAATACAAATTACAAATTTGTCATTCTATTTTATGATTTAATGGTCAATCATGTTCATATTTACATAATCCATAGAAACCTATACAAAATATTGAAAATAGAAATTATTGTTTATAACTCAGTGCCATATCGCCATCATAGAATTATGTGGGTATAATATAATACTTTTTGTTTATAAATTATAATTAGGGCTGACTGGCTGAGCACTTCTAGTTTTTTCATATTAAATATATTAAAGACAAATTTTGTCTAGATAGGTCACAGAAAAATGTGGGTGATGTATAAATATGTTTCATAATACAAGTGGATTACCTACACAGAAAATAGTATTTTGTATATTCTGTTGCTATTGCATATAAATGCATATTTGAGCATATTAGATAAAATAAGAACATATTTTGCCATTTTTTTTTATATAATAAAGTTAATTTGGAAAAATAAAAACATATTATTTATGTTGAAAATTTCAAGTGTAAAAAAGGTATTTGACAAATTAATCGGTATGAATACCGTTCGTTTCTAAGGAGTTCAATATAGGCAATTTTCTATTTGAGTGCATGCGGGTCGTGTAAGTGTGTGCCTAGTAAGTAATCATTAGTGTGAGTATTATATAAATAGCGGAGCGCACCCGCACGTGCACGCACATGTCAGTAACGCAGCACTTACCCACTAATTACAAATGTGAATTTTAGTGAAACACTGAAACTTAGTTTCGTATTTCCAATAATATAGCTTACTGAGCGAGTGACATATTTACAGTACCTATGAACACCTATTATACAAATTGAAGAGAGAAGTTTAGATAAATCTAGGCTTGTATAGGAGTTGATTTTCGATATTTTATTTTCAATGTCCAATATTTAGCTCTAAGACTTCTGATATTTGAATTATTGAGTTTGATAATTAAAATATCGGAAATTGACCTTTACGTTGGCATAGATTAACTCCTCTTCTTCAATATTGATAATAGGTGTAAATACTCTCAAACTTCTCAATAAACCATATTATTAGTAATACAAATAAATACATTTTCATAGAATTTTTGAATACTATTCATACCCCTAAATGCAATGGTGGGCAAATTAATGAAAATAATTAACTGTGGAAAGTTAAGTTAATTCAATTAAATTGCCTTCAGTTAAGTTAAAAGTTAACAAAGAAAAAAAATTTAACTAGATAAGTTTAAAGTTAAGATAGAAAATAAAATTAACTTATCTCAGTTAAAAAAAATTAATTTTTTGAAGGTACAATATTTTTAAGTCATAAACCACCATAGTATTTTGTTATACACAAACATTTACCAAGATATTTAACATTGTGTGAAAAATTAGATTATTATAATATATAATTCGAAAATAAATTACTAAAATCGTAAAAAAGTCGACAAATCAGTAGATATTGCCTAGTTGATTACGCATGACTTAAAAATAAAATTAACTTAACTGCATGACGATGACAATTAACTATAAAAAGTTAAGTTACAACAATACATTTTTAACTGAATAAGTTAATAAATTAAAAACAAAAATAATTAACTAGTTAAGTTAAAAAGTTAAAAAAAATTAAATTTTTAACAAGTTAATGCCATCTTTTGTCCAAAGGACTGCAGCGGTGGCGGTAAAATTCTTCTGTCTTGGCGGTGCAGCCGAGGTGGCGATAAAATTGTGTCCGGACTCATTTTGCCGTAACCGCTACAGCCACTGCTGCAGTGCAGTGTGGGGACATTTAAGGGCATATTATTATATCATAAATGTCAAGATTTGAAAATTGAATGTTAAAAAATAAAAAATATTAGGTACTACCTACACTAATTGCTAAATATCTTATCGACTTTATAGGTTGACAATCTTAGATCATATTAATGTATGAGTATGATCTAAGTTGACAATAATGATCAGCGGTCGGCACTCGGCAGATTGTGTCAATAGGTATATGCAGGTGTAGTAAGTACCTAGTGTGGTGTAAGTGAACTTCTGAATAGCTAACTGAATCATTTTTAAATTTTTGTTTCCTTATTAATTGTATAATTTAAGAACCGAAATTCATATAAAACATTTTTTTAGAGCATATTAATTGTTGTATTTTTAGTGCATAAGTGTTCCATATTTTAAGGTTTGTAAGTACTATAGAAGTCCCCAGCCCTAATTATAATACCTATATTATATTCACATTTTTATACAACTAAATGTATGATGAATGCAAATAATATCCTTAAAAAATCAAATCCAAAAAAGAAATGGTAATATTTCAATGTTTGATTCGGAATTACTTTTACAACGATAATTTAATTTTAAATATAAACCTAGTCTATTCAGGATAAGAGCGCACCAAATTTACGTGGCAAACCCGGTTTTGACCGTGGCCGCCTGGTGTCATCTAATTCTGAATAGAGTATAGCCGTGGAGAGTAACGTATATAGAACGTGTCGCCTTTTTAGAATCTGGGTGGAACTAGATACATAAGTTTTATGATGGTTTATTTTTAATAAATTATAAAAGGGTGACCACTAAACATAGGTACCATTTATTTGTTTATTTTAATTTTGTTGTTTATTTGATAGATAATACTATATAAATACTAAACTATTATAATTCGTTAAATAGGTAATACATATTTTTATTAGACAATAGAAATATGAACAGGTTGTTTATATTATAAAATTAATTAATGAAAAAATAATAATCGTTACAATATAATGTTAAATATGAGGTTGGCCAGACTGCTCTAGCTGGACACTCTGGTGCTGAGCAGAAATATTTTTAGTATTAGTCTCGACTAGACGTTGGTCAGCAAGACAGCAACCGTTGTTTAAATGAATAATTAAAAAAAATAAGACTATGTTGAGATTTACATTGTGAAAATAAATAGTAATTGTAAGTTAAAGAAGTGTTTGTTTGTTCTTTTATTGTTTATTTAATAATAGCAATGTTTTTGGAACAAATATAGTGTAACCTATTATATTATAACTGAGAGAAAAATAAATTAATAATGGTTAGTGGTGGCCTACTTTTATAAATATGGGTAATAAATATATTATAAAATATCTTTACAGACTGCGTTCTCCTAAGAATCGTTTTTCGTGTATTTTTTTCTTTTATAGAGTGTACAATGATTTATCATTGAATTCGAATTTAACACATTGATACAGGGACATATTATTCAAATTCAATGACGAAGTACACTCGAATCCTACTATTATAATAAGTACCTAAGTACCTACCAGGGCTCATATTTGAAGAAAGAAAACATTTTTAAGTTATTTACAATTATTAAAACGTTACACAATTTTTGCGTTTATCGTTATTTAGAAGTAAGTCGTTATACAAATTTGGTGTTATTCAGAATTGAAACTTTTTTTCTAAAAAATTTTCTAACAATCCAGTACCTAAGTAATTTGCAATATTAGCATCACGAATTAAGTCAGTGCCGTATATAGAAATAATTTTAGGGGGGGGGGGGGCAATAGTATACAGAATATAAAATACATTATAACTTATAATAGTAGCTAATAAAATTTATTGTTGTTCTATTTAAAAATACTGTAATTTCGGAGGGGGGGAGGGGGCTGCAGCCCACTAGGCCCACCTTCTATATACGCCACTGAATTAAATTATTTATATAGATATAGATTTTACACAATATATCTTAATTCGTGGTTACCATCAAATGCCAAATTATAATTTATTTTTTTATTAATGTTTAGTACCTATTTAATATTGGTATTCTATATAACACATAGGTATCTATTTTATATAATTCCCTAGTCTATTTTAAATAAGTTGGTACTTGGTATATTATAATATATAAAATTACCCTGATAATATCTATTAAATTTAAAAATAGGCAATAAACTAATAACTAATGCTGCCATATCCCGGATAAAGAATTTATAATAAATTCTTATAATAATAAATCACATGAAATAAATATTTCATCGAAACCAATATTATAGCATAGGTTAGGTACCTATTAAATTATTTTGTTTTGTGTTCCTTATTTTTCGTTTAATGAATTCTATACATTACGTTTTGCGTTATGTTTGTGCAATGATATATTATACATTTTCAAATTTTGTTAATCGAGTTATGTTTTGTTTTCTGGTAATAATTATTTTTGTTTATTGTTTTCCGTTATAATTACGTTTAGAAATGCAACCGTTATTTTTTTGTCAAATATAAAAAGCCTGAGTGACTACTCCAGGGTTTTCACTTTTCAATTCATCGAATTGATAATTAGGTACCTACCTAAAAGTTCTACAAGTGTGTGTGTGTATTATTTTGCAATCAATAGATTTTTTTAACGATTTAAATTCTAACTTGAAATTAATTTCACCAAGTTTTCTAAATAACTTTATAATGAGGGAATTTTATTGTAAAAACGAAAACCCAGGATTATTGTCTGTGTACTGGCACGTCATTCACACATTATAATGTACCTATTCAAACTTCCTATGTAAGTTGCTTGAAGGATAATTC